GTTGGGTGGTGATGGACATGGTTGGAGGTGGTGGTGGAATTGGATGAGATTAGTGCATAGGGATTGGTATATAGTGGTTAGGATTAGGTGGCGATGGACATGGTGAGCTGGTGGTGGATTGGATGAGGTTAGTAGGTGAGAATTGGTAGTAGTGGTTGGGGTTGGGTTGATGTAAGGGTGGCGGTGGGTGGGGGTGGTTGATGATAGTAGATTTGGATGGGGTTGGTGATGTGTTACATGAGCGTGGAAAGAAGTAGGGAGGTGATGCTTGGGGGCATGAATGGATGGGTGGCGATGGACATGGTCGGGGGTAGTGGTGGGTGGAGGTGGTTGATGGTGGTGGAATTAGATGATGTTGGTAGATAGGGGTGGTAAAGTTAGTAGGGGTTGGAGTGGGCTAGGATGGGGAGGGGGTGGTAGGGCAAGTGGGCAACGGTTGGATGGAAGGGGTGGGGTTGGACAGGTGGTTTAGGGTAATATGGAGAGATCGTATGGGGCGGTGGTTGGGTAGAGGAGGTAGGGCGGTGGTTGGGTGGAGGTGGTGGAATATTAGGTGGTGATGGGTGGGGCGGTTGTTCTTGGGGTGGTTGGGGTATGGGTGGGGGTGGGGTAGGGTGTGATGGATGATGAGTTTGGGTGGTTAGTAAGTGATATCAGGTTGGTTGACGATAGACATGGTTGAAGGCGGTGGAATTAGATGGGGTTGATGGGTAGGTGGTGGTTGATGATAGGGGATTTGGATAGGGTTGGTGGTATTGTGGATGAGGGTGGAAAGGAGTTGTGTATAATGGTGGTACTTTGGATGGTGTTAGGTATGGGTAGGAGTAGGGGTGGGTGGTGGTGGACATGGTGGAGGTGGTGGTTGGTATGGGTGGTTGATGGTGGTGAAATTAGATGACGTCAGTGGATGAGGTGGTAATGTGGGCATTAGTGGATGGTTGTTGGGGTGGGGTAGGGAGGTTGGGTGGAGGGTAGGGGTAGGGTGGGGTAGGGAGGTTGGGTGGAGGGTAGGGGTAGGATGGTTGTTGGTAGGAGGTAGATGGTGGTGGAAGGGGTGATAAGGGGTGGATCGGTGGTTTGGGTGGAGGAAGTAAAGGTGGGGTGGTAGGAGGATGGAGAGGTAGGGGTGGGTGAGGGTGGTTATTGATGGGGTTGGGGTGGTGGTCTTTTGGGTGATTAAGGTAGGGTTGGGTCAGGGTGGTGGATGATGAGTTGGGATAGGGTGGTTCGTGAGTGATATCAGGTTGGGTAGCGGTGGACATGGTTGGTGATAGCGGGTGGGGTTGGTGGAATTGGATGGGGTTGGTGGGGAGATGGGGATCAGGTGGTGGTGGTGGTTGGTGGTGTAGTGGGTGAGGTTGGTGATAGAGAGAGAGAGAGAGAGAAAGTCTAGTTCCAATATTAACCAAGTTTATTGTGTTAACTTTGTTAACCATTTTCAACCAATGACAGTCCATCTTATATATAGGTTCATAGTCATCTTATAATTTAATGACAAGGGTATATATAGGTTCATTTTTTATGTAACTCAAATATCATTAATTTGGAGTTACAAAATCAAAAAATCCCATGATTGTTCTTAATTTATTATTGGTCTTGTTTTTTTATTTATAATATTGATTTTTCTATCTATCATGTTTTTGAATTTGTGATTGGTAGATGAGACCCGGTAGTAAAGTTTTCGGTATCGTTCAAGCTATTATGGATAAACCCATTGGAAAACAACTCGACAACAATAGGAAGGTTAAAATGGTTTATGATGACAATCGGATTTCGAGTTCCGGAAGTAAAGACAATAATCAAAGCGTTTGTATTGGTAATGGATTAATATGTTATTGTATTCGTTTTAATCGAAATTATGTTGATTATGATGTGTTGTGTTTTTTATAATTCATATTGTGTTGGTTTCCTTTTCTCTAATTATTAATACGAGCCCAATTCATATGTTCAAATGGAATGAGTTCAACGTCAACTTAATTTGCTATGCAATCCAATTCTGATAACCATTTGGCTCCATCAGTTGCTTGTGATGCTTGACCTGCCATAGACTGCAATTGCTTCAATTTTCATGCCATCATATCTGCAATTGATGTCTACTATGGTGAATTGAATATCCAATTATGTGAACATGTGAACATCAAAATGTGTGTAAATGTATATGTTCATGTTGTGATCATATATGTTCTCGACCTCTCCCGATAAGACCATATGTGTATAAATATATTGCAGCTAGTGTTCATATATGTTCAATGTGTGTTCATATATGTTTTAGTAGGGATATGAATAAAGACATCTAATGAACTGATTAAATCTTAAAAAAAAGTGAAAAACATCTTACCTAGTGAAGATATCTCCAGAGGCATGAACACATTTTACATAATATGCATTAAGCCAAAGAAGGCCCATTACAATTGCTCTAGTAGCTGCATAGTAGGCCTTCAATCCATTAGCAAGTGTTATACCATTTTGTTCTATTGTAAAATCCTGGAATGACAATTCAAGAATTCAAAAGGTCAACTGCAGCCATTTTTTTTACAACTTAAGTGAGAACTGACAAAGAACAGTCTAATGAGGTAGGCTTAGCAAAGTTAGAACACTTTCAAGTTTTGCACAAAGAAGATGTCACATATTTGGCTGAGCTCAAAAGAACCACATTCCATCTACATAACATAAGAAAGTAACAATATAAGGAATATTCTGAAAAAAGAGCTTCTACCAGCAACTAATGAATTATTATCTTGGGACTCAAATTTGTTAAATTAGGTTTGAAAGGAAGATAGTTCTTTATGTCATTCACCACACAACCATAACTGTTCATATTGTCTTCATATGCAAAATGGTTGCATCTCTTAACAGAGTCGGCTCTTGAATGTACACAAGTTGTTCATATTGTTCAGATGTTGTTCATATTGCTATTTTTTATTGTTAACAAGCTGTGCATATTGTTCACAAGATTTTCATAGTGTTTGCTCTGCTCCATCAACTACTTGTAGTGAGTAGTTCCATGCCTGGACAAAAATTGTAATGCTTGAACTGCCATATACTGCAATTGCATCAATTTTTATGCCATCCTATCTGCAATTGATGCCTACTATGATTAATTGAACATCCAGTTATGTGAACATGTGAACATCAAAATGTGTATAAATGTATTGCAAATTGAGATGCCAAGGAAATCTTAGTTTGACGTATGTGCATATCTGTATTTCAACTAGTGTTCATATACGTTCATATTGAGAGAATAGGTAAAATGAGAAGAAACATATATAAGAGACATACATTGGTGCAAGATATACCATAAACGAGACAATATTGCCTGCAAATATCAGAAAAGAAATTTCGATTTAGCAACAGAACCGTCAATGATATATGAAAATATAGATGAAGGGGAGGAGAGGAAAGGGGAACACAGAGTGAATGTAAGAAGTATATACCAAGAAGGCCAAAAGCAAGAGTAAGGTGAGCCAAATTTGCAACCATCTGCTGTATAGTACAAACCAAAGTGTTGTTTAACTAATTAATGTTGCATTTCTTTCTCTCTTGTTAGTCCTGATGAGTGTTGCATAAGAAATGGTAGAGTGGCCCCCTTATATATGAAGCACTTAATGGTTAAGGTTGGTGTCACCTTCCTTTGTCGCTTGACCATATCTGCAGTTAATATGTGCATATGTATATATCTACTATAAACATTATCTCGAGACGACATTTACTGCATTGGCTAAGAATCCTTGATATCAAGTTGTTGTTTTGCTTTTTAAGTCTTTATCAAATTCTTGATACTCTGTTAGTGCTTAGTTCCTTCTCGGATTATGGAATTTGTGTTAATATAGGTACTATAATATTCTCTTCCTATGTAGGTTGAGCATATACACAACAGGTATGTGTATATTTTTATGTCTCTATGATAACCATTCCATCAAAATGAGATTCAGATCTAGAATGGTATATGATAATGAAAGACTCATTTGTGTTGGATAAGTCGATGGGAGAGGAAACCTTGATATCAAGAAGCTGCATGTACATATCAAAAAGTCTTTGTATAAATTAATGATATTCATAATTAGATATGTTCATATATCCATACCATCCCCTTTTACAATTGGTATTTCTAGATTGCATTAATCAATTCCTATTGGAGATTGGAAGAAGATATATTATTTCCTTGTTGTCAGCTTCACTTACCCACCTGGTTGTTGCAGTTGCTTCCTGCATTTATTTAATCTTAATGTTCATTTGGTTTACTAACTACAACTTTGCCATCAAGTTTTGACAAATTTACACCCTTACAACATGAAATTGATTACAATCTAGGAAAGTGTTCAGAAGAAAGCAAGTATTTTATCCCCAAATGTAGATGACGAGCTTAAACCAAAGACCAACGCATAATGTGCATCTATAAATGAAGCGAAAAAGATGTACAAGACGTACACGGACAATGCCGAGTTTGATGTTCGTATTCATGCAAAAAAAAGCCCGACGACATAGAAACTAGATGGTTTGTATGTAGTAGGGAGGGAATACCAAATAAGTACTTTGATTCTATGGCTCTTCAGTCCAGCGAGAGGAGATACCTTACGAACCTTAAATGGTGTAGATGCATTGCATGTATAAAAATCCATTTGACAAAGGATAGGTCTTGTTACGAGATATACGAGTTTGTTGAGGCACATAACCATGCGTTATTCAATAGTAACGATCGTTGTTTCTCCAGGAAGAATAGACAGATGAAGTATACAGATTTCAAAACTGTACTGAATAGCTCGAGTTACAAAGTCGGTGCGAGAAGGGCTCACCATATACAGACGACATTGAATGGTGGATTTGAGCATACTCGATGTTCTGATATTTAACTTTAAGAATTTTACAGTTGCCTGTGTTGGGAAAAACGACGTGAAGATGTTGATCAATAAACTATCAAACATATGATATATTGTGCCCGAGTTTTTTTTTAGTACAAGTGCAATGAATGGGAGTTGAGCACCATTTTCTGTGTAGATGAAATGGCTAGAATTAACTACAAAGAATTTAGTGATGTCATATCGTTCGACGGGACCTTTCGCACGAACAAGTAAGCTTTGCAATTACAACCAAGTTTTTTAAGTTTACTATGCATTGGTATTATTTTATAATTGTTGTTTTCTGTTGCAGGCATGCGATGATTTTCGTTCCTTTTTTGGTTGTTGGCAATCACAAAGCTTCCATTGTTGTCGGCTCCGCTCCAATAAGTGGCGAGACAATTGAAAACTTTACATGGGTTCTCAGAGCTTTCCTAAAATGCCATGAGAAGAAACTAGTTTTCGTGATTATGGATCAATGTTCGGCAATGAAGCAAGCAATTTCGTTGGTGTTTAGGAAAGCCAAGCACCGACTATGTATGTGGCACATTATGAAAAGGGTGCCTTCTAAGGTAAGTAGGATTTAATAAACCGTAAAAGGTGAATGTTTATAGGTTCATTTTTTATCTCGAGACACCAGCAGGTTAGTGTCGCCCTAAATCAAGATCTTGTGTTTAATAAAGTGATCAACAAGCTCGTATGGAACATACATGATGGCCCAGCGGAATTCGAGACTCGGTGGAATGAGATGATCAATCAATACAATTTAGGTGGAGATTTGTGGTTCACAAAAATGTATGACACCCGACACTCATGGATTTCTGCCTTTTATAAGGACACATCGATGTCTAGTCTCATGAAAACAACATCAAGATCTGAGAGTTTGAATCTGTATATTAATATATATGAATCATTTTGGTTTAACTTGGTTCAGTTCCTTAATAATTACGACATTGCTATAGAGAAACAAAGATACATACAATTTGTGCATGAAACAGTAACAAGGACCACTTACCCAAAGTTGGTTACTCCATTGCGTTTAGAAATTCATGAATCAAGTATATACAGTCGAAATGTGTTTTTTGACATCCAAAAGGAAATAAAGAAGGCCGTATGGTTCTGTGCTATAGAGACGGTCAAATGTCGGGATGATTCAAGATGTTCATAATAAGCCACAAGACCAAGAAATCATCTGGCAACATCATGTATCTGATACTATATTCCTTACACATAAAACAATGTTCTTTAATTTATTTCATTTTAGTTTGCTTGTGGTTGTTCGTAATGTATTCATTGTTAGTGTCCCGTAATTACTCATCCAACACGGTCGAATGCGAGTGCAATCTATTCACGCATAAAGGTATCTTTGTCGTCATGCGTTCAAGGTACTAATAAACGATGAAGTTGAATGTATTCCGGATAAATACGTTTTACGTCGATGGAAACAACAATTAGTTCCTGTCCAGATACAATCCACAAGAGTTCGATGTGGTGAGGTGGATGCCGAGAAAGATAAGTGTATAATTGATGTCTATTCCAAATTCGATGACATAATAAGTATCTCCCGAAATAATAAATCTATATTGGCTAAATTGGAGCAGAATCTTGACAAATTCATGGTTGATATCGAAAAAGAAGCACCATATGAAGAACCATCCCAACAAAATTTGGATGCGATCATAGATCATCTTGGTGTTTCCATACCTGATGAGGTGGATATTCTACCACCATCTGGAATAAGAGACAAGGGTTGTGGTACTGGTAAGAGGTTGGTCAGTGTGTCTGAGAAAATGCAGTCTAAAAGCAAAAAAGCAAAAAGAAAATGTGCAACGTGTGGCCAGCGTAGCGGTCATGGCTAATGTAATTGCCCCGAATTGATAGATTAGTTAGTATTCCAATACTTAGAAATATTACCGGTTCGGTGTACTTCGTTGTCGTCAAACTTACATATGTTCATGCATCAATTTCGGCTTAATTTGGAATATTATTTGCATTTATCATTTCTTTTTAGTCTCTTGTCCAATTGATATATGTTGATTAAATATTTGTTATTTACCCGATAAGTAAGAAAAGCACAGTAAATGCGTTCTTTCTAATTACCCTTTTTGAATAAATGTGGTTTTATGCATTATGTTGTACCTTATATGGATATTATAAGGTTTTTGGATTACTAGGTACGATGAGGAAGTTAAAGGTTTTGTTTTTGGAGTGTATTGAGAATAAAACTGTGGATTTGGGTTTTGAAGTTTATGATTTGTTCGTAAAATTACTGAAAAAGTTTAATCTCGATTGCAATAATTTGCTTGTTAGAGAAGTTGATGCTCTTGTTTAGGCTTTCATTGGTGTTGATTAGTTTGGTGAGGCTTATGATGTGTTATTGAAGATACAAGTTGGAATTTTATTGTGTATGTGATCACTTGTAATCCTTTTCTGAACCGATGGGTTGAAGAATGAAAAGTTGACATGAACATAATGGTTTATCAACATTTCTACATGAAAGGTTTTATATTTGATAGTATAAATGTGTGGTGGTGGGTGGGGCGGTTGTTCTTGGGGTGGTTAGGGTGGGG